ACTAGAAGCAACCAAAAAATCTGAAATATTCACAATAAACTATTCTCATTGATGCCTATCTACATGCAAAGTTTCAGACAGAAACTCAAAACTCACTTTTTCTGATGTTCCTGAGGGGGACCACGACTTTTTCTGAAAAATATAGTAAAAATGCTATATCTCAGTAGTAATAAGCTATCCGCCCGAACTCTTTTCACGGTATTCATAGCTCATTATGACCTATATGATGCACATAGTTCCGACTCAAAAGCGATTGAACAGTTGGTGACCCTCCCTCGTAAGTGTACATAATAGAAATGTCTTTTGAATTTTGACTTGAAGCAGTATTTTATGTGTGCATTAATTTTGTTTTATATTACGATGTGTCAGTCTGTTTTTGGTTTTGTTGGAGTAAATGCATGGCAAATTGTACTCGATTAATTCGGATATTCGTTTTCGTAATTTTTGGATGTTTTATTTTGGTTACATATGATCGTGCAAATAAACCGCAATGTACTCCACACGATGTTGCATCGTCTTGTTTGAAATCATTGAAGTTAGATATTATCTTCCAGTTCTCAAAATTTATTTTTTTGTTTTTGGTGTAAAAATAATGTATTCGAAGTAGTTGAACAATTGTGTTTTTATAGTTGTCATAGGTAGCTAAGTTTGATTGTAAAGAATCGAAGAAGATTATTGTAGTGTTAACGATGTCAATAATAAATAAAACCCAGTGTTGTGAATGGTTAACTGGAACTAATATAATATTATTTTTAAACCATTGTATGTCTGTTATCTCACAGATATTTCTAAATCCACGACAACAATATCTTGCAAACAGTATTGAATCAAAAAGAATAATGCCGTCTGAAAGCGTTGTTGTTACATGCAAATGTGCATTCAATAACTCATCGTTCAATTGATACATCGGTTCAACTAGATTACGAATGTCTGTCGAGCTCAATCGATATGGACCAATTTTCAGTGGTTCATCAAATTGTGACATATATCTATTAAAAGCATCAGTCAAGAGGCTAGAATCTACATTCGACCTAACCGTCCATGTATTAATATCTATTACACGAGGCTTAAAGTCTGGATTAATCTGAACAATGTCATTTGTTTTATAACAAAGTGCTATATTAGTAGCCGATGCGATAATAAAATCATTAAATCGATAACCTTTTAGACATTCGTATACTTTTGTTTGTTGATTGAATAACCGAGTATTCGTCATTTGACATTTTTTTTACGAGTAAAATTCGTTCATCTTTAGTAACTACGATAAAACGAAATAAATCATACGTGTAGCAGCATTGTAATAAGTCACATTTAACCGACATTTGCTCTGGAGCAGTTCTCATCGATTGATCTTTCTTTGGTTTATTTGTACAATTGTTCAGCGAATTAATAGCAAAAGTAACGAAAACAAATCGAGGTATTTCAAGAATAGAATAATTTGTAATTGTTATAGAATTATAATCTTCACAAATATTCTTGCATCGAAGTTTTGGAACAAGTTTTGTTTGAAATAATATTTCGTCGAGAGAAATCTCATTATCTTTCAAAATATGTATCTCATTCGAAAATAGTAGACAATCGTTTTGAAAAATATCATTTTCTATAAATAAGTCATTATATCATCAGAAATATAGGAAAACAATTGTTGAAACTCACTTTCTTTACATTCAAAACATGTGTATGACGCTCCATAACTCCAAGACAATAATTTAGTGTTGCGAGAGACAAATTCAAGTGCAGCATCGAACATCATTCTAACATGTGCATTGTCAACAGGAACTGTTAAATTAACATTAGTTGCTTCAAACAGAATTTGGCTAATTATATCAGCGAAGTTACAATTGTTGTTTTGTTCACGAATATACATAGCAATTGAAGTTGAGTGTTTTCTTTCAAATACAATCGATTTATCGACTGGTTCAATAGATGCATCATTGCAACGAAAAAATTGTTCGTTGTATTTTGCAAACGTGTAATAGTGACGACTAGCTTCATTATTTCCAGTATATACTATAATCGATTTTAGTTGATATCTTGTATACAATGGATAACATATCATTCGTGAAGACGTAAATTTTGACATATCTAGATGGTTTTCAATAAAAAATTCTGCTCTTTCTACTTGACTACTAGTGTTTGTTTTAAATTGAGGAGGAGCAAAAGACATTAATAATGTATCAGGTAATTGTACAACTTCTTTACGATATTGATTTTGATCTGATCTGTTACCACATGTATTGCACGACTTAGTTCGATCATTTTTATCATTAAGAAAATAATTTTTTAAAGCAACAGTAGGTAGAAGTCGTCCTTCACAATCAATTGTGTGTAATTCTAACATCAGATGTTGCTCGATAATTATTACATGGTCGGTACTAGGGCTGTACAGCTCACGCTCACGCTCATGAGCGTGAGCGGTTTTGCGCTCACGCTCACATGAGCGTGAGCGGTTTTTCGCTCACGCTCACGTGAGCGTGAGCGGTGGTCGCTCACGCTCATATGAGCGCTCATGAGCGTGAGCGTTTTCTGACTTAAAGAAAGTACGAGTGTCTCTGATCACTTTTTTCAACTTTGTTCCTCGAAAATCGATATTCATGATTTTTGTGCCTGGGGTCCCCCTCAGGTATCATGAAAAAAAAAATTTTTTTTTTCACAAGTCAAAATCAGATGTAATAGTAGATTGAGAGGAGCTGGTTAAGAATATCACAATGAGAGCTCTCAAAATCTTTTTATTTTTGGAATAGCCCTAACAACTCTAGGCACCATATTCTTCATTATTAGGGTACTCATAGAATATTTATTCACTTAAATTTAGCCAGAAGCATCTTTCTTACCCCAAATCTCGAGTTCTCTACGGTTTTGAGTTTGTTACACCAAAAAAAAAAGCATAATTTTGGAAAAAAGCGGTCATTCCAGTGTCAAAATGGACCTGTTTTAAATACATAGAATTTTCTTCTGACAACTTTTTGGGAAGACACCGTTATCATAACATGAAATTTTGACCATTAGACTAATTTTTCAAGCTCTAGCGGTTGGCAGCCATAAAAATAATTGAAAATGTCTAAACCCCCCTCAGAATAAAAAGGCATGGGCTTCTATTATGTCCCAGTGAATCGGTCGTTTTTGGTGGCGTTATATTATGTCTTGTCGGAATTTTTTTCGCATTTTTCCTTGAAATTGGTATGGCGTTATATTATGTCCAGAGAATCAAACGGTCCGGGGTGGCCTTCTATTTTGGGTGCCTTTCTATTATAGGGTGGCGTTCAATTTTGAGGGGGAGGGGGTAGGAGTTTATATCATGGTCAAAAACTCTAAATTGTGATAAGATTCGCCTTTTCCCACTAGATTTGTCTATATATGTTTAATATTTAGCATGAAAACAGTTTTTCTTGGGCGTCAAACCCGAAGTATACATCTCGCTTTTCAAGTTCTATCGATTTGTAGTCGTGCAGAACTAGAAAAGAGGTATAGCACGGTAAGAAGTGCGAAATATACTCAAATTTGACATTTCTTCTGAGTTCGGCTATAATGGGTTAGTTTTCAGTATCAAAGTAGGGTTGTTGGAGCACCATATTCGAATTGAATTAGTAATTGTCTAAGCTCTCTTGATTGGCAGTCTGAAAGATAAAAAAACAGGGTACACCTGTGACCTATGTCGGAAGTTTAAAAGATTCTCATCCGCTTTTACTGCATGCATGTCCATCTATGTTTTTCTGATTTTGAACGTGAAGAGAAACAAGCTAGGGGTTTGAATTCGTATAATACTGATTTCCTTATAATGTTCTGTCAACAGAAAGCCTTATATGGAGAGAAAGAGTATCGGAAGATGACATCACCATGTCATATGCCTGAAGAAAAATAAGATGACCTCTTTGTTAAGTTGTTTGATTAGTACATTAAATTACGTGTTACTCGCGACAGGTACCGTCATTGTTGTTTCTTGTTATCATTGGCATATCTCATACATGAGTACCTTTTTGAAAATTCACTCTAACTAAGCCAATCATTAAAACACCATTAAGGTTTTACATATTACTCGAAATTTTCTCTCCGAAACTAGAACTACGTTTTCTATCAATGTATGATATATAAAAGAATAGCTGTGTTACAACCTTAACACGGAACAGAAGAGAAAAATGAAAGAAATTCATTGCACACAGTCAAATATTTTACAAATATGTCTTGGGATGCTTCCGTAACTGCACTAAAAGGAAATATATCTACTTTGAATAGAGCCCTCATGCTAAGCGTAACCTGCCCAGTCTTGCCTGGCAAGGCGGGACCAGATTAAAAGGCTTTTCACAGGATAGAGTACAGGTTTCGGAGGTCAGAATCTATTCACTGCGATAGAACTGTTGTCACCAGCATACTTATTAGATTTTAAAAGTAGGAGCAGTGATTTGGAGCTAGATTACATTGTTTAGATACGTTTCTTGTACGAAGGATAATGATATTGTATTTCTCGTTCGGATAACTCCTGTGAACACAAAAAACTAGCATGTGCCCAATATTTTACTTCTCTTTTTTATTTAAAAGCTTTAATTTTCTTAATCTGAGAATTCAGTGGAGTATCCGTGACCGTTTCCAATATTAATACATTCGTATTGAACAGGCTCTATATGTTACTTCCATCGATAACTAAGTTTATCATAAAAATGTGGTGACGACGGTTAGGTTTTCTAAGTTGTCCGTCCGAATCAAGACATTTCCCTTTAATGTTTAATAGCTTGATCTTTGAATCTTATATGAATATGATATTGTAAATCGTCTTGCTGCCTTTGATCAAAGTTAAGTGACTTTTCTTATAAAGTGAATGAGTGTCAGAATATCGCGCTTATAAAAAGCTACCATGCAGTTTTTTTTTTGTTGATCATTATTGTAGGAACTAGAGAAGTTTCTTAGCACTTCTCTCTTGCGTTATATCAGCAAGACAACAGTTAGAGCCATTCTTCAACTCTAATGACGCTTCTCAGTTCAGTGCCTTTATTGACAAGATTCATATTTAAATTGTGAAAAAA